TTCATCACCACCTGTTCTCTCTAAAATATATGGCTATGTTATTAAGCGTGCAAGTGAATGTATAAATTAATTCAGCAGGGAATTAGTGTTGACTGGGATGTTATTAGGTTTCATCCAATTTATCTGGTAAGAAAACTGATATTTTTCCCCAATAAAGTGAAACAGGAGCTTATTAAGTTTTTTCAGTCTTTTGTTGAGCACTTGTTTTGTTGCAGGCATGTGCTAGGCAGGGGGGTAGGGGCAAATGTGGTACAGCCCCTGCCCTTGAGGGGCTCATGGGGAGCCAGGCAGGGAAGCCAGCAGGGAAACTGGCAATTAGGATACCATAGGCTGAAATCAAGGTTAGTCTCGAGAGGGGCTGAGGTCAGGGGATACTTGCTAGAAGAGGTGACCCCTGAAGGGCAGGTAGAATCAGTCTGTGGAGAGGTTGGCAGAGTGGGCTAGAGGGGCATGCCATGATAATTCAGACAGAGGATAGGGCCTGGAGGAGGCACGGTAAGATCCTAGGCTGGACAGTTAGCTAGGTTGCTGGCGGTTCTGAAGAGCTTGGGTTTCTTCCCCAATCCATGCTTCATGCTTCATGCCTCTCTTCTCACCTTCTGTGCCAGGAGATGTGTAGGGGGAATTTATATTGGCAGAAATACTTAAGTTCTGATTTTAGCCAGTGGAGCCCCAGGTTGTCAGAGGTGAAATGCCTTACAATTCATATGGTCTCTCCCCCTCCTCCACTTGTGGGAAAACTAAGCCTCCAACCTTATTCTCACCTAGACCCTCCCCACACCATGCCCCTTAGCTTGCTGCCTCCTCTCTGTTCCTGACAACCAGAAATTGAGCAGAGGGAAGGGGAGGCATCGTGGAGGAGCACAGGACAGTCCCATGCCCCATGCTCCCATCTCCTGCTGTGCCCAGGTCTCCATCTCAATGGGGCATCACACAGAGTTCTTCCCTGTTGTCACCTCCTACATTCCTCCCATCATTGAGGGATCTGGCCTTCATCGCCTTCCCTAATTGGTCTCCCTGTCTCCAGGGTTGCCCCAAACCTCCAGGGTTGCCCCAAACCCACCCTCTATCAGTAGTCAGAGAGGACTCTAAAACCCAGTCTGAGAATGGAATTTCTTGATTCAATCCATCCATAGGATCAAGTCCTAGCTGTTTAGAAAGGGGCTCTCTGACGAGGCACTTACTTGTCTACCTGGTCCCAGTGCTCTCCCCTGCCCACTGTCAGCCTTCCAGGGCTCTGCAAGGTAGGTGGCTCAGGTCAGAACCTGCTTCACCTCTTCCTAACCCCCTCCTCTGCCTCAAAAAAAAAATACCTCATTTCATGCTGGTGTGTTTCAGCAGGAGCCCTGGTGGGAAAGCCTGGCTGCTGGGAAGCCAGGGAGAAGCCCATGGTGACATGTGTGCCAAGGCGCTAGCTCTGGGCTTCACCCCCTCACACCCTCTATGAAAGCCCAGCTCATGAGCCAGATGGAAGAGGGCTTTCTCATACACACAACCCCAGGACTTGTTCCTTAGAAGGGCCTTGAGGTCATTGCTGTCTTATATGTCCCTATTGTTGGACACCGGACAGAACTGTGGCCAGAGAGGAGGGCAGGCGTCCCAGCACTCCTCACTCTGTCCCTGCTCCATGCTGCCAGTCCTGACATCCAGGCTGCTCACGAAGACTGGAGTTTTCTGGGGGTTTTCCCATCCTGGTTAGTCCAATGCTCAGGCCAGAAGCCTGTTGTCTCCTCTTTTTCTCACGCTCCATACTGAATACAGGGACAGGTCCTGTGTCCCTGCCTGCCTCTGACCACTCACTGTCACGTCCATGCACGGCTCCAAGGCCAGCCCGTTCTGCACTACCTTCCTCTCCCTGTGCTCCCCTCCATCTCTCTCTCTTTTTTTTAAATAAACTCTTTTAAAGAACAATTTTAGGTTCAGAGCAAAACTGAACAGAAAGTACAGAGATTTCCCATAAACCCTTGCCCTCTATCTCTTTTCAGTATTGCAATCCTGTTATAAAAGGTGCCAGGTTAAAACCTTCTCCATCATAACATCAGAATGGCTCTCCTTTCCTCTCAGAATAAAACCAAAGTCCTTCCCAAGGCCCACAAAGCCCAGCTTCCTCCCACTCACCTCCTCCCACCCCCACTACCCTCCAGTCGCCCCGGGCTGTGTTGTTTCTCCAACACCCCAGGCGTGTTCCCACCTCAGGGCCATTGAACTTGCTCTTCCCTCTGCCTGGAATGTCCTTTCTTCCGGCAGATGTCCACATGGCTCGTCCCTCCTTTCCTTCAGGAATTTATTCAGGTGTCACCTTTCGAGAGGCCTTCCCTGCCCCGCTTTCATTTCTCCACAGCACTTACCACCAGCTGGTGTGCTGTGGCTCTGACTGACTGTTTACTCTCTGTCTCTCCTCACTTGGGCTCTGAGCTCCACAGGCAGGGATGGCTCTGTTTTGCTCACTGCTTTTTTCCCAGCCCCGAACTGTGTTTGGCCCATGTGCATGAGTGTTTAGAAGTGAGATAGGTGAATGGATGGCCTGCTGGGCCCCACTGCAGTCTGAAGGTGACCACATACACATGGGTCCGACATGTCTGGCAGGAATCTCCCTGCCGTTTTCCTTAGTGGCTGATAGAGTGTTTGGAGGGATAGAGGTGCTCGCAGACCTGATGCAGGGTTTTGTCTCAGTCATAGAACAGGTTCATTCCCATCCTCAGCCCTCATAGACAGCAGTCACCACAGACAGGCTGGGTTTTCCCACCACCTTCTGTGAATGTGAGGTTGATGGCTGTATGTCCGGCTGGGGTCAGAGGACGGCTCGCCACATCTGTGCTTGGAGGGGAGGGAGATGTGTCGCTTGGCCGAAGATGTGTGTGTTGGCCGGCAGCTGGACATGGCTTTGGGAGCCTTATTTTGCAGGCCCCGGCCCGGTTTACTCAGCATCTGCATGTACCGGGCCCTTAGGATGGATTCCCTCATCGGGTGGTCACAGCAGCCTGGTGACCGAGGAAATGGGGCCTCAGAGAGGTTAACTAACTTAGCCAAGGCTCCCAGCCAGCTAGGGCAGGCTTAGGAGAGGAGAGGAGCTCAGGTTGGTTCAGTAGCTACATGAGGTGACTAGTACCGTGTCCACATTGAGCAGACATGGTATGAAAAGTAAGTATAATAACACTGAGCACGGACTACACCCAGGCACGCTGCTGAGAGCTCTGTGTGCATCACGTGATGGCAGCCTCACAACAACCCCACGAGGTGGGTGCAGTTCTCATCCCTGGTTTTCAGAGGAGGAAACTGGGGCCCAGAGAGAAACTTGCAAGGTAGACTCTCTGGTCTCCGGGAATATTCCAGCAGCTCCGGTTTCAGCTCAGTGTTTTCTGATCTTTGTGCATTATCTCCAGGGTCCTGCCCTCAAGTGGCATCTTCCCCAAGCCCATGGGAGTGAACGATGTTCCCACAGGCCCAGCAAGGGACAAAAGCATGTGGGAGAGCCTGTCTTCCTATGACGGACATTGTCCGGCCTCACCTGGGGGCTGGTTCCAGGGCAGGGCTGTGTAGGACCCACACAGGGGGCACTGAGTGATTTGGGGGATGCCAAATGACCCTGACTGGAACTGTGTAGGGTTGTCCCAGGAGAAGGGGGACCAGTGTGGCCGGTGCAACCCCAGTTGGGATAGGAAAATGGGAGGAGGAGAGAAGCCACTTGGAGGCAGGTTTCTGGCACAAAATTAGAACTGTCCAGGGGACTGAGCCTCCGCTGCAGTGCC